GGGCTCACCCCTTCTCTGTTTCAGGGGGAGATAGGCCGAGAAATGTACATCATCCAGGCAGGACAGGTGCAGGTCTTGGGTGGCCCCGACGGGAAGGCTGTGCTGGTGACACTGAAGCCTGGATCCGTGTTTGGAGAAATAAGGTCATTGGGGAGCTGGGGTGAAATGAGCGGACCTGGGCCCAAGCTGGGGGGGGGGTGCCAGTGGGAGAGGGGACAACCTCATCCTCAAGGGCCCTTTGGTGGGTCTGAGTAAGCCGCTGTGGATGCTGACATATGCAGGGTGGGCCTCGGCTCTCGCCCGTGTGGGGCCGCCACTGTGCTCCGGGCAAGGGGTGGAAAGGGACATTTTAGTGGGATCCCAACCCCAGCCTGCCAGGTCTCACCTCCCTTCCCCATCCCAGCTTGCTGGCCGTTGGGGGCGGGAATCGGCGCACGGCCAATGTGGTCGCCCACGGGTTTACCAACCTCTTCATTCTGGACAAGAAGGACCTCAATGAAATTTTGGTGCATTATCCCGAGTCTCAGAAGTTACTCCGGAAGAAGGCCAGGTACGTTTTTTTTATTAAAAAAAAAAAAATCCACATATATGTCAGTGCACATTTCTTTTTTTTTTTATTTTTTTATTGTTATGTTAATCACCATATATTACATCATTAGTTTTTGATGCAGTGTTCCATGATTCATTGTTTGTGCATAACACCCAGTGCTCCATGCAGAACGTGCCCTCCTCAATACCCATCACCAGGCTAACCCATCCCCCTCCCCCCTCCCCTCTAGAACCCTCAGTTTGTTTTTCAGAGTCCATCATCTCTCATGGTTCGTCTCCCCCTCTGACTTACTCCCCTTTTCTTCCTCTCCTGTTATCTTCTTTTTCTTTTTTCTTAAAATATGTTGCGTTATTTGTTTCAGAAGTACAGATCTGTGATTCAACAGTCTTGCACAATTCACAGCGCTCACCGTAGCACATACCCTCCCCAATGTCTATCACCCAGCCACCCCCTCCCTCCCACCCCCCACCACTCCAGTAACACTCAGTTTGTTTCCTGAGATTAAGAATTCCTCATATCAGTGAGGTCATGTGATACATGTTCTTTTTTTTTTTTTTTTAAGATTTTATTCGTTTATTTGACAGAGAAAGACACAGCGAGAGAGGGAACACAAGCAGGGGGCGCGGGGGAGGGAGGAGCAGGCTTCCCGCCGAGCAAGGAGCCCGATGTGGGGCTCGATCCCAGGACCCTGGGATCATGACCTGAGCCGAAGGCAGACGCTTAACACCTGAGCCACCCAGGCGCCCCTCAGTGCACATTTCTTAAGGACTAAACCTTTATCTTACCGACCATAGTACCTTTGTCACAGTCAGGAAATTCAGTATGGAAATCATGCTATTATTCCCAATCCATCTTCAAATTTGGCCAGTTGTCCCAATCATGCCTTTTATAGCCTTTCCTGTCTTCTTTTCCATTCCTGGATCCAGTGTAGGACCCCCTGTTTCATTACATAGCCTCATATCTTCAGTCTCCTTGGATCTGGGATGGCACCTCAACCTTTTTCCAACTTCAGTGACTTGGATTTCTTTGAAGAGGACAGGCCAGTTATTTTGTAGAATGTCCCTTCACTTAGGGTTAGCTGATGTTCTGATGTTTTCTCATGATTACCTTCAGGTTCTGCATGGGGGCAGGAATTTCTCAGAAGTGATGTTGGGGGGGCACCTGGCTGGCTCCGTCTGTAGGGCATGTGACTCTTGATCTCAGGGTTGTGAGTTCAAGACCCACACTGGGCATGGAGCCTACTTTTTTTTTAAAAAAAAAAGTGATGTTGTGTTCTTCTTAGTACAGCATACCGAGAGGCACGGGATGCTGGCTTCTCCTAGTATTGATGATTTTCCCTTTGATCACTTGGTTTAGGTTTTTGCATGCCGAAGTTAACATTTTTCTCCTTGTAATTAATAAGTAATTAGCAGGGAGTCAGTCTGAGGCTATCTAGACTTCCTGTTTCCCATCAAACCTTCACTCTCTATGTTCAGCATCCACTGAGGGCTCCTTGCTAAATCAGTGATTGCCATCATGGTTGCAAAATGGTGATTTTTCTGATTTCATCATGCCTTCTACATTTATTAGGAGCATTCTACTGTGAGGAAGAGGTTTCTCTTCTCTCCCATGTATTTGTTTATTCATTTATCTATATCAATGTGGATTTCTTTTGTTCCATAATAATGTTATAATCATTATTTTGATGCTCAAATTGTTCCAGATTTAGCCAGCAGGGACCTCTTTAGGCTGGCCCTTGTGGCTCTTTGTTATGTACCCAAACCATTTTAGCACTTCCTTGCTTACAAGCGCAATAAGATGCTCCGTCCGGGCTCATCTTGTGACTTTCCTGCCACATCCCTGGGAATGGCCATTTCTCCAAGGAGCCCAATTCCTTGCAGGTGGGAATGGTTTTTAGAAACCAACATCTGAGCACTATGTGTGCCCATGGCTACTAGGGTGCTATTAGGCTTCCGAGTGGACAGACCTGGGAAACACACCTGCATGCCCCCGTATATATACAAATGCAAATATACATATACACTCATATAAGTATATATATCTCAACATCTATTTTTTTCCATCTGTATCTATCTAACAATTTCAGTCTAACACCACAGAGTTCTTTCAAATCTTCTCCTTTTCCCTATTTGTAAATTCCTTCTCCAACACTGAGAGATTTGGATCTATTTGCCCTCATTGCATTCACTCATTTATTCAGTCCTACAATACAGACAAAGCGATTTCAGAATTGCTATCTCAAAGCACTGGGGTGGTGGGGAAGCCTTCTCAGCAGAATTTAGTATTTGGTGCTGTTCTTTTTGTCTTTAGCCTAAGTACCTATGAGGTAAGTGTGTGTTCAGAGTTAATTGGATTCATTTTCTTTTGCCTCCCTTGGGTGTGGTTGTTTGTTCATCTGAAATGTACCCAGGCTCGTGTGTTTCGGTTTGCACTCCATTTTTTTTTTAATGATTCCTCCTGCCCCAACCCTTGTTGATTTTTTGTTGTTTTGAATATGTCACGCATTAGCATGGTACCAAAAGTCATAATGCAACAGAATGGTGTGCCCGGAGAAGTGTCCCAGCTTCCCCCACTTGTTACTCCCGGCTCTACAAGAGCCCAGGCTCATTAGTTTCTGCTGCTTCCTTAATGTGTTTCCTTTTGCAAAAATAGGCAGATCGGTGAATATTTTATTTTCCCTGTCTTACACAAAATGTAGCATACTGTAGATTTTCTTTTGCACTTCGCTTTTTTTTCACCTGACAACCAATCCTGGAAAACATTCTCTCTCAGTCCATAGACCCATCAGTTTCCTTGTTCCTCTGACAGTTGCAGAGTGTTCCTGTAAATGGGCAGTTAGAGTTCTAATATTTTGCAATTATAAACAGTGCCACAGCGAATAACCTTGTGCCATCTGTATTTTGTACTGGTGAAGAGTGGGTAACTTTTTAGAGAAGCAGGCTTTTGCTTTCTGACCCTTAGGATCAGGTTTCAAGCTGAGTGACAGAGGCAGTTTGGTTGTGGTAGAAAATCCACAGCAGGCTTGGGAAGCTGGTGGGGCTCACACCCTATCTGTGTGAAGTACTGGCTGTGTGGCTTTGGAAAAGTTACTTAACTTCTCTGGTCTCAGTTTTCTGCAATTCTGTAAAATAAGGGTATTTTAACCCCTTACTTTGTTATTGGGAAAATTAAATAAAATAGCGTGTGTGCGAATGTCTCCAGCAGGGTACCAGCAGGTGGGAGAGCTCAATGAATATTCACAATCATAATTGTTCCTCTTTATCCATTAAATCCTCTCTGTAATTTTCCCATTGGTTGAAGCCTTTCAAATCTACATATCTGGATTTTCCTCCATGCCTTTTCCCCATATTCCTATCTTCTACCACATTCTATGAAATGACACCATAAATAAACTGCACCGAGAGAGGTCATGATAAAGGGCACAAACTTACAACATTCACTCATCGCGCACAATCATTTATTGAGTGCATAGTTCTAGGCCCTGGGGACACAGCAGGGACCAAATAAAGCTGGCATTCTAATAGGGGAGGCCGACCGTGGAGAAATGAACGATTCTGTGGTGTGTCAGCTGGGGACAGGGCTACAGGGAAACAAAAAGCCACATTGAGGAGACGGAGGTGATGGAGGGAGTTCCTTGAGAGCGGTTGGTCAGGAAAAGCCATTCTTAGGACGTGGCATTTCAGCTGAGACCTGCACAGAATGAAAGAGTGAGCGGGACTGCTTGCAGGGAGGAGCATTCCAGCCAGAGGGAGCAAACAGCAGGTGGAAAGGCTCTGTGGGGGAGTAGGCTCGGTGTGTGTGCAGACCAGCCAGAAAATAAGTGTAGCTTGATGCGGGATGGGAGAAATCAAGGGGATGAGACCGGGCAGGGCCTTGTAGGTGAAGCCTTGCAAGGGACTTTGGGTTTTGCTCTGAGGGAGATGGAAGCTATGTAGGGTTTTACACAGACTGGTGACTTGAGGTGACTTAGGTTTTCACAGGATCCCTTTGGCAACCCCAGGTGAGTGGATGCTGTGTTGAGGTTAGAGCATAATACACACAGGAAGGAAGCTGCCCCATAACTCAACCTACCTGTTTGCTCTTAAGGAAGTTACTGGACCCTTCCAAAGACTGATCTGTCTGAACTTCTCCCACAAACTCTGCCCACTTCCCCTGACTCTCCCGAGGAGCAGGGAAGTATTCTCAATCCTCGTGATTCACATAGTTGCGATTCTGTATCTGCAATTCAGCTACTCACTAAAATGTATTGGAACCCCAAAATCAGCACTCATGGGCATCCCCAGTAATACGCGGACGTGCATAGAGACAGCAGTGAGAAGTTTGAGTTGCCCTAAGTGCACATTCCCAGCAGAAGTTGACCAAGGTGACGCTCTGCTTTATTGTTTCAGCCCAGAAGCATCTGAACACTTGACAACAAGAGCCTGTTCGTGGTCTATTTAGTACCGCATTTTTCACATTCTGTGATTGTCGTTGGCAAATTTGCTATTTAAAATGGCCCCAAAGTGTGGTGCTGAGGTGCTGTGTACGTTCCCAAGGGCCAGGAGGCTGGAATGTCCCTTACAGAGAAGACATGTGGCTTAGATAAGCTTCGCTCAGGCATGACTCATAGAGCTGTGGGTCGTGAGTTCGATGTCAATGAATCAACTGTATATTAAATCAGATGTCTTTAAACAGAAACACACACAAGTATTGATCAGTTGCTGAAATGTTGTCATGAGAGGCTCACCAGAAACCTAACTGTATTTCCGCCAGAAGCAATGGTTTCGGTATTCGCTAATTCAGGATTTGTAGGGACTCTATAGAACGACACTACCACGAATACTGAGAATCGACTGTTTCTGTCTGAGAGCAGGGGCCAGTTTTCCCTGTCCTCCCTTCCTCCCTCTGCATGAGGAGCAAGGCCCAAGAAAGCCACGCTTGTAGCCACCACCCACTCCTTTGGCTAGGTTAGGTGAGGGGTTGGCAAATCAGCTAGGATCCCGCCGAGGCTGCTGACCATGCTCGGTGAGCTGGCAGCCAGACGCTGGAGAAGGTGAGGAACGAGGAGGAGCCCCCGGGTCCTGCAGCACAGAGGCCCTGAGGCCAGCGCTCTAGCATGGTTCATCAGAGAGCCAGGTTCCCTGGATAAGCAAGCTTCAGGACAGAGGCAGGGAAATATGCGGGAGCTCTGCCCATCAAAGGGAAGATGAGGTCTGAGGACCACAGGGCCTGGGGACGTCTGAGCTGGTGAAAGCCATGTGTGGGATTCTGTCTCAACTCCTCACTTTACAGATCGGGGACCTGGGGCCCCAGAGACGTGAAGGGCTCAGCTCTCTGTCTTGGCCACTCCAAGAAATGGGGCATGCCACTCTCTTCAGGGATGAACGTGCGATCCTGCTTATAGGAAAACATGTCATCTGAAAGTGAGGCTGAATTTCCTGACTCTGGAATCCAATGTCCCAGAAGCCAGCACAATGTTTCAGAAGAGAGATGGCCATTGGCCATCAGCACAGGTCCCACAGAGAGTTCTTTTGTGTCATTTTTGTACCATGCTGAGCTTTCCCACAGACTGTCGTGCTGTGAATTATGGACTGAATAACACAGGTGATGGTGCCAGGCATGAAGAGGCCTCTGATGAATTATCATGTTTGTGCTCTCCTGGGGGAGCCCCAGCCAGAAAATGCAAGTCTTGGCCAATTAATATCAATATGCACAATTTAAATCCATTGCCTCTGATTAGATAAGCAGCCAATAATGTCCTCATTTTTAAACAAACAAGTTTTGCTGGAGCCCTGATGAATGAATTTGCCAATTAGGAGTCCAGGCCCACTAGACTGCAGACGAAATTCATTTGTTCTTGAGCCAAACCACGCATCACATATCTGTAGCATGAACAATTCACTATCAAAGGCTGGGGCTCTGTTTGATGGAAGATTCTAGCCTTATTTACAGAGCAGGGTGGCATACTGCCTTTAGATCTGAGTTTTAATTCTGCACCCACCACTTCCTAACTGTGTAACCTTGGGAAAATTACTTACCCCTTCTGGTCTTCCGTATCTTTATTTGAAATGAGGGAGAAAAATAGGGGCCTCCCTGTAAGGATTCTGTGGGATTTAAATGACAAAGTGTGAATCGGTTATCTGTTGCATAATAATATTACTACATGTTAGGTAGTTTCTATGGGTCAGAAGTCTGGGATGGCTTAGGTGGGTCTGCTCCAAGGCCATCATCAAGGTGCTGGCCAGAGCTGAGTCTCATCTCAAGTCTCCCCTGGGGAAGGACCTGCTTCCAAGGTCACATGGTGGTCACCCGAATTCAGTTCCCTGTGGTTGTAGGACTGGGGACCTCCATTCCCAGCTAATTGTTGACTGGTGGCTGCCCTTGGTTCTTGAGGCGTGGACCTATAAGGTCCAGACAGTAAGACTCATGTCACTGGGGTTGTTCCGATCCTTCACTGAGATGCTGTGCATAAAGCACCTAACACTGGGCTTGCTCACAGACTGTTAGCCAGAACGACCAGCCCCAGCACGCAGCTCCAGCAGAGTCCGCCACAGACGGGCCTTTCTTCTCTCCCAGAGCACACTTGTGATGTGCGCGGGTGCTGCTTTCTTTCAGGTGCATGCTGAGAAATAACAACAAGCCCAGGGAGCCGAAGAGCGTGCTCATCCTGCCTCCCCGGGCAGGCACGCCCAAGCTCTTCAATGCCGCCCTGGCCGCAGCAGGAAAGATGGGCAGCAAGGGGGCCATAGCTGGCAAGCTTGCCCACCTGAGGGCCCGGCTCAAGGAGCTCGCTGAGCTGGAGTCAGCTTCGAGGCAGCAACAATTGCTGGAACAGGTAACGCAGTGGGGAACCGGCCACCCGCCCCCCCATTTCAACTTCATGCCAGAGCCTGGACTGTGCACCTTTCATTGCAGGGAATGTCTCCCCCTCCTTCCTATCGGTCGGGATGCCTTTGGTGGCAAGTGACAAATGCAGGTCACCGTGCCAGCTCAAGTTAGCTCAAGGGAACAGGGAATCGATTGGGCCAAGTAGCTGCAAAGTCTAGGCAAGGCTGGATCCAAAAGCTCAGATATTGCCAATGGGACTCGTTTTGCCATCCTGTCATGTCCGCTTCCCTCGAGGATGGCTTCAGATCGCAAGAGCACTAGGACCGCCACCTCCTGGTTTAGCAATGCCCACCGGAAGCCTCTCTTGCCCCGTGATTCCAGCAAAAGTCCCAGGGCTCACTGTCATTGGACAGAATCGGATCTCGTGTCACTTCCAGAGCCATTCACTGTGGAGCCCTGGGGGAGGCCAGGCTCCCATGCCCGTCCCTGGGCTGAGGGAGGCCATTTCCCCGAGGGGAGTCTGTGCTGTTGCAGAGGTGGGAGCAGTGGGCAGGGAAGGTCTCTCCCCAGATGGCCGTGATGTTCTCATATTTAATCTTTGTGTCTGTGACAATTTAGGAGACTTGAAGAGAAAAAACCCTGCCGGCCAGCACAGTGCCAACTGTCCCCGCCCTCGGAAATCTGAAGGGAATTTTAAAATTAGTTCTGGGACTCTTTTCTGTGACTAATGCTGAAAATGCCAATTAGAATGATTGCACTAATTATGACTATTCATGACTGTCCTTCAGGGAACCTGCTAGGAAGGGGGGCGGTGGGTAGGCAGGAGCTCGGTGGCAGGGAGGGTGCTGCAGACTACACGACAGAATTCAAAGGAGCCCAGGGAACTCAGTCTCAATCCAGGCTGGTGTTAGAGTCCAGGGGACCCATCCGGAGATCGTTTGACATCTCGAGTCCGGGAGGTGACATCAAAGCTACCCAGGGTTCCAAGATATTCTCAATATACAGCCACCCGTGGCCCCAGACAGAGGACAGACAGGATTGCCTGGCTCACCAAGTGCCAGGGTCAAGGTCGAGCCAGCAAGTTGGGGTTTTAGTGCTGGCTCCTACGTGGAAATAAGTGTACATGAACTCCAAGACTGTTCTCAGGACGGTGAAAGGCTTTATCTGAAATGGGGCTTATTTCTCCTGAGTATTAGCTCTCCACCCAGGCAGCTTGGAGAGGTGAATTAAATTTGTATGAGAGTTCTAATAAAAAGCAATTTCAGAATAATCAGGGCAGAATGGGTAGAGTGCAAGGAGCTCTGAAATAACAATCCAAAGACACGGGTCTAAATCCCAGCTCTGTCATGGCCAGCTCTGTGACCCGGGGAAGCTCCTCATGCATTCTGAGACCCAGATTACTCATGGTTGCCCCATGGGGATGTAGAGATGAAGCAGGATACCTTGGATATCTTTTTAAAAGCCTTTTGAACTTGGCAAAGCCCCTGACCAACCTCCCCATGATTCTTCTGGTTCCGTTCATAGCAGGATGCTTCTGGAAGTCCCATAATGGGCACCTGCCCTGGAAGTGTGTTGTCATAGTTTAGGACAGACAGGGAAAGGCAGAACAGGTGCACTAGAACATGCAGGAACACAGAAACAGAGGGAGGGACAGGTCCCCAGAGTTGCCCTGGGTTCTAGGAGTGGGGTTCCCCACCCCACTTCCCTTCCTTCAACACCCTATGATTTGAGCAAACTTCAGGGGATCTTTCTTCCTCAGAAGCATGTTGACGGCTCTCATTTTAAATTCACTACCACTATCTCAAGTGGGTCTCGGATAGCTATGGACCATTCAGGTCTCCTCCTCTGGGGGCCACTCCCTCCCATTTATGTCCAGGCAGAGGTGGGTCAGACAGGGCAGGAGAGGCCACAGGTATCCACAAAGGCTTGGGTTTTTACTGATACACAGACTACAGCCAGTGTCCACAGGAACCCAGAAGCCTGGAGGCTGGAAGTCCCCACCAAGTCCACAAACATGGGGGCTCAGCCCAGCCGAATGCCAGTGGTACCCTGCCCATTCTCCTGGGGCATGGGGGTGGGCGTGGGGGTCTCCACCTTTGAGACCTTCCAGAAAGGGCACCAGGCTGCTTCTGCCATCTCAGCCTTTATCTTGTTTGCTTAGAATGTTTCTATTCACCCAGGAGCATCCAGCCCTGGTATCTGGGGTGGACGGGGCAGCCCCGGGGGGACCCGGCAGCTGGCTCAGCTTTGCAAAGTCCTCGCTGGCGCTCCCTTCTGGTCACAGCCTCTCCTCTCTCCATAGCTCAGGGGCAGGCTTGAACCTGCAACTTCACTTGGTTTCTAGCCTGGCCAATCAACGGAGACCGAAAATATCCACCAAATCCAACCGGGACTTTTAATCCCTAAACCTCTCCATAATGTACTCTGTTTCTACGGAATAATCCTGATGCCGCTCCCATCCCCCACTTCCCACCCATTAGATTGCACCCCTGGGCCCTCTGCCATCCTCCTCCTTGGGGGTCTGAGAAGGGGAATGGGAAGGTGTTCAAGACCCCTCCAAGAACTCTCAGACGTTCTTTGCCTCACCAATCACCCTTTCCGGATTTCAGGCCAAGAGCTCGCAAGACGCTGCGGGAGAGGCTGGCCCGGCCGCCCCGGAGCAGCCCGCAACGCCGGAGCCTGCGACCCCGTGCTCTCCGCCACCTGCGACCCGGTGCTCTCCGCCACCTGCCTCCCCTGGGAAGCCGGAGGAAGGCGGGGAGGGGGAGGCCAGGCCCAAGGAGCCCTCAGTGCGGATCCGCATGAGCCCGGGCCCGGATCCCAGTGAGCAGATCCTGTCGGTGGAGATCCCGGCGGAGAAGGAGGCCGAGTGAGTCGGCCCCCCGCGCGCCACTCCCCGGCGGGGCGGGTGCAGGCGCGTCCTCCCCGCGCCCCAGGCCGGTGCCCAGCCCCGCGCCCAGCTTGCGCAGGCCCAGACTCCCCGGGCACAGAGAGTCCGTCATTCCTGCCCGGGCATCGGCTTCTGCCAGGGCTGGTCTTTAAGTCAACAAATGTAGTGTTCGTGTCCCTAATTTCCCACCGTCACCTGAGAACCCTACCTCTCCCAACTATGATTTTTAAGAACAAAATTCTTTTCTGTTTTAAAAGTTTGTAGGCAGAGCAGAGAACGAGGCTCCAACACCTGGGAAGCTCTGTTGGCGGCTAAAGGGTTATTACTGAATGTTTGAATTTCATCTCCCACATTTCAAGGATAGAAAACCTGCCAGCAGTTGGGGCACCTGGCTGGCTCAGTCCCATGGGGAATACGACTCTTGATTTCAGGGTCCTGAGTGCAAGCCCCACGTTCGGTGTAGAGGTTACTTTTTTTAAAAAAAAAAAAAAACCTTGAGAGCAGAAAGTACAGTTGTGCTGTTCATTTAACTAAATGACTAAATTACATTTGACTAAATTGACTAAATTACAGCTCACCTGACCTGATGATCCATGCTGGGCAGTCGCTTTAGGGATCTTGTGCTGGTTAGGGTGGTTAGCACGGATCTTCCCCAGGCTGGATTCAGTTCCCAGTCCGATGCCAGTATCTCAGAACAGATAAAATGGAAGTGGGCTTACTGGCCACGGTAACTGTGAGCGATTCTGGGCACCCCTACCCGTTCCTCAGGTCTGGTCTGCAGGGGTTCATGCTTGCTTGCTTTTGACACCCTTGCTATAAAGATGATGGCAGCAACTTCCATTACTCCTAGGAGACAGAAACCACAGCTGACACCACTGACATTCCTGAAGTTTCTCCAGATCAAGTCATGTTGCTGTAATGATTCAAGATAAAAGGGGGGTGGGGTGGGGAGGAGTCATTCAGTCACTGAATATTGGGAGGATTTTATTTGCATACCTAATGGCTCTTGGGGCAGTGGGTGATTAACAACAAAAACTAGTGTTGGGCTATTTGTTTCCACCAGCAACAATGAACACAAAAGGCCCGTAATTCCAATAGATACTGCCCACTTTATATAAAATCACAGGACCTTGCCGTGCTGCAACAGGGGCCTTTGAGGGCTTGCAAATGTTGTGTATTTGTCCATCAGACTAAAAGCAGAACATTCATTTCCCCTGTGAAAAAATGACGCAATATGAGAGTTGCCAGGCTGCTCTAAACATTTCCAAATCCCAGGGTAACAGATTTATCTAGTTGATGACATGCCACATGATCTGAGTAATCACCACATTGAATATAATGATGAGCGGCATGATTATAGCCGTTTAAAAAGCTTTTATTAATTTACTTTAATAGCTAATAACATATTTTCATGGGTACAAAAGGCTACCCAGGTAAAATGATCTCTCCTACCCCTGGTGCCCAACCTCCGTGGTCCACACTACATCAGTTCCTTGTACCCTTCCTTTTTTCTTCTTCTTTTTTCTTCTTTACACAAATGGTAACATACTAGAGCTGCTGTTGTTTTTCATTTGATTTAGAAGATCCTCCCTTCTTAGTACATCAAGGGCGTGCTGATTTTTCATGCCTGCAATCTGGTCCATTGTATGCAAGGACCATAATGTTGAATTGCTCTCCATGGACAGGCATTTGCAATGTTTCCAATCTCATGCTGTTAAAAAAAAAAAATGCTGCAATACACAAAAATCTTATACATAATTTCATGCAGTAAGCACTGTTTTTAAATAGGGGAAGTCTGGAAGTTTGGGCTAATTTTTGTCTTCACCATCCCCATTTAGCATACTCGTATTTGCACTACGTATTCTAAGATCCAAGCATAGAGAATGCTTCCATCTTTAGCCAAGGATTTCAGATATATCAATAAAGCTCACGTATTACCCTGCAGTAGATGGCAAAATATTTCAAAGGCCCCTTTGCTGTGAGAGCCTATTTTATAAGGAAGCTTTTTTTTTTCTATATGAACACACTCATTCTTTTAGATATCAACCCTTGAATATATACTGCTTATTATATGAAGCGAGAGATTCTTGAGGTTCCCAAGAATTGTCCCGGAAAGAAAATTGATTTTGAAATGAGATTAGCGGTGTCTTAACTTCACTGTGATATTTCATTAAACTTGATGCTTTCACGAAAGTTGGATTGCAGATAAATTGAACTTGAGGCTAGCGTTATTCTCCAAATAGAATTGGACTGGTTAGTCACCAAGGCACGGGTGGCGCAGCTCAGAACACTATAATTTTGCCGCTGAAAGAGAATCTTTACTTATGTGTTTGAATCTGTACCGATTTCAAATGTCTCCACGTTTCCTGTACTGTGGTAGAAAATGAATAGCAAACTATTTTTTTAACTATATAAATATTTTAAATAAGATTAAAACCAAGAAGCTGTGTAAAATTTCATTATCAAAATGTGTTTGGCTACCGGGAATACTTTCATCTGTCTTCTTAGCAAACATGAACACTGTACTTAGATGCTGGCTTTCATCCTGTTACAAATGCATTTTAATTAAAGTGTTTAGACAAATGTTCCTGGCTTGTGGATTCATTTCAGAAATTGACCGTGTGTGACAGACCCTTTGGTGAGGAAAACTAAGTTTGTTTCCTGGTTCAGGCTCCTCTTATCTGCAAGTGACGTCCTTGGGGCTGTCATCCATCCTGCATTCCTGTTGCTTGTGACACAGCTCTCCATGGGCCCTAGGACTCGAAGACCCTCAAAAACAGCCCCCTTACGTCTGGTCAAACCCTATTGGTCTCACCAAACCAACTGCTTATGATGACCCAACTCCGTTAGACTTGTCCAATCATGTAATGTGCTGATGAACATGGACTCGGGATTCAGACTGCCCAGCTTCCAATTCTAGCTTGACCATGGACCACAGATGACCATGAACCTCTCTGAGCCCCAACAACCTCATCTAGAAGACACAGATGATACACTGTACTGCACATGGCCACAGTGATGATCGCGATTGGGGTACATTGGAAGCTCCCTGAGAACTCTGCCCTGAATTCTGCCTCTGGCCAAGTATACACACAGAAGAGGTGTGATCACCCCTTTCTTTGCTCTTTAACTGAGAGTTTGCACAAGCACCTGGACATACATGAATTGTAACTATAGATCACAGCCTTCCCCACCATCCACGAATGTATTTCATCCAATTGCATACAAAAACAGACCCTACCTAAGGCTTACCACATGTGGTCAGAAGAGTCCCATATTTGTTTCACGCTCTGCTGCCACCATCTTGAAATTCATAATAATTTCTGAATAAGGCATTCCTGTATTTTTATTTGTACTGGGTCCCACAAATTACAGAGTCTTGCTAGGCTGGAATCCCCTCTGATATCTGGAAAATCCAAACGACAGGGAGGTAGAGACACATCCTTTTGGCACCCAGCTTTCATCTCCCTTCTTCTAGCCACAGGATCCCGCTCCTTCTTGAGTAGTACCTTTCAGTCATGCATCGGGACTCAGCCATGGTGACCCAAGCTAGGCACATTGGCTCTCTTTCCAGGGAATCTGAATCATGAGAACTCCTGCGCCTTCCTCCTGGCTAACAGAGCCCTGATTTAGTTTTGTGCACCAATATGCCCAACCCCAGGAGATGAAGCCCTGGTGTAAGCCAGTCACTGCTCTTCTGATGACTTACGCCAGACGCTCACATTCCCAGCATTCCTTGTGGCTAGGGGTGGCCGTGGGACCCAGTTCCAACCAATTATAAAGGGAAGGGTGATGGGAGGCCTCCTTAATAAAAAGGGACATCCCTATTTCTACTACCCTTCTTCCTGCTTGCAATACCAGGGGGAGAATAATCTGTAGCGGCAGCAGCCATTTTGAGATAGAACAGCCAAAGAATCAGCGATGTAGACCGTGACATCAACCCCAGACCACTCATCTCCAGAATACTTGTTCCGTGAGACAATGAAATATCTTTTTTAAAAAAGATTTTATTTATTTGTCAGAGAGAGAGAATGAGCAAGGGGAGAAGCAAGACACAGGCAGAGGGAGAAGCAGGCTCCCTGCTGAGCAGGGAGCCCAATGTGGGGCTCGATCCCAGGACCCCGGGATCATGACCTGAGCCAAAGACAGATGCTTAACCAACTGAGCCACCCAGGTGCCCCTGAAATACCTTTATTATTAAGGCATTTTTAGCCACGACCTCTTGCCTGCAGCTGAAAACAACCAGCTGGGAGGGTGATGAGATGGGGAAGGAAAGAAAGAAAGTGGGAGCAGGTGCATCACAGTCCCAACACCCTGGCCACACGCACTGTTCATTTCTGTCGCTCAGGTCTTTGCGACTATCCGTGCCCTGTGCTTTCTGGCCAGCTCTTCAGCTCTTCCTTAATTACACAGGCTACCTTGTGTATTTTGAATAAATTCACCTGAAGTCAGCCCGAGTTAGCTTCTGTTGCTCACTGAGGCAGACAAAAGTACTTCTGGGAGTTCCCCAGTTGTTTAAAATTCAAGATCTAGGCCACCCACTCTGGGTGTGATTCTTTGGTCCCCGAACCTGTGGTTTCTAAATTCAAACATCAGGAAGAGAACTTCAGAGGAAGGAACGGAGGACAGAGGAGGCCGTTTGGACCAAGATCAAATTCAAATGCTTCTCTGGGGATGGGAAACCCAGTGGGAGGCCGTGCTTTTACCCCACAAAGAGCACGTGGGCCTCAAGGGGCATTTCCCCCCAGGCTCATCCAGCGTCCTCCCCTGTCCTGCAGAAGGACACAACAGCAAAGGTCCCTGGGACAGAGCCTCCTCTTGAATGATCCCCTAGACTGGTCTGCCTCTCACTGCTTTCTTTTACAGGTAAGGCTCAGAACACAGGTGATCGGGCTCTATGGTTTTCCGAGAGCTTTCCGCATTCAACTAGTTGCATCCACCATCCTGCTGTGAGCTGATCAGGATGGGAATTAGTAAAGCCAGATTAGAGACGAGGAAATCCAAACCTACACTGGCAAAGGGACTTATCCTCAGGGACTCGGCATCCCTGGGTTAGAGACAGAAACAGCCAAGAGAGAGGAGCCCGAAGGCTACTGTCCCGCCTCGGCCTCAGACGCACGCACGGTGCCACCTCAGCTGGGTAACTTTCCTTCATTAAATATATATTTTTTAAGATTTTATTTACTTATTTTGACAGTGAGCCACCCAGGCGCCCTCATTAAATATTTTTAAAACTTCTTTCTATGTGCTGAGCACTGTTCTACCGTTTTCCAGGCCCTGGGAGTTGTATCTCTGAGCCAGGAGAAATACCAGCACCACCCCCGCCCCCCGCCCAGGGTGGTTGTGGGAAGGTTCAGTGGAGACTTGAGAAGCTAACTGTGCCCATGGTGCCTTAGTCGGCTCAGGCTGCCATAACAAGACGCGGACTGGGCGGCTTGAAGGACAGACATTATTTTCTCACAGCTCTGGCAGCTGGAAAGTCTGAGATCACAGGGTTGGTTTCTGGTGAGAGCTGTCTTTCTAGTGTGCAGGTAGCTGTTTTCCCGCCGTCCTTGCGAGGCCTTTCTTCTGTGCGTGTGGAGAGAGAGCTCGAGATCTCTGCTGTCTCTTCTTC